GACTGGATCGCCGAGTACCAACGCTTGACGTCAGTCCCAGACATCCAGATGGGCTTCAAGGCCATCCGCCACTATTTCATCTCAAGGTCATGTCCGACATTAAGCAATGCCCTGACTCATGTCGAGGACACCTTGACGACGACGGCGTAGTTGTTCGACAAGGCTGCGCAGAGCATTATCTCAAACAAGGAGGCCAAGAACCTTCGTTCATCTGCGTCAGGCCCGAGCACGGACCAGCATCGGCCAAGAGTGGCCGTGGTCGCAGCGGCAGCGCCGTTGGACCAAACCAGCGAGGATGTGTCTGCCAGTGAAGGGGACAGATTCGCAGCCACCCGGGAAGGTGGCCGCCCCGGTAGAGGCCGAGGACGCGGCAAGACGAAGACACACACCGCATCTAGCCCCGGGCCCGGTGCAACAGCTCAGACAGGCCCATGGACCCAGTATGGCATCTTCGAGCAAGCATTCAAGGCGCGCGAGAGATTCCACTATTGCCTTTGGTGCAACAGCGATTTTCATCAAACGCAGGGTTGCCCATTGAAAGGCAAGGGCAGACAGGGAAATTGAGCACCGCCGAGAGTGACTAGACGACACTCTCGACGCCTTCGGAATCGGTTTCTTCGCTAGTAACCGGCCTTCATTCCGAGGCGAACGCGGAAGTCGATAGCTCAAGGGCAAGGAGTGTGTGCGGTTTCTTCTCCTTCCGGCAACGGCCACATATCGTCTTCAAGTGGTTCTTCACGGGATTCGGCACGCGAGTTCAACATAGAGGCATTGGACCCGCTCACGTCTGAGGACTTTGCATGGCTTCCTCTCCCGACCACAGGCCGCTTGCCGGGACCGCAATGCGCAGCACTTAGCGCTAATCTTCACACTTACTTATCCTTCTATGCACCACCAACTTCGCCGACGGATGACGAAGTCGCGGTGGGGGACATCCTGGCATATACTACCAAGGTGGCCCGCGAGTTTCGCACGCAGCGGTACAATGACAACAACGCAACGCTCATGTATGTTTGCATTCAGGTTGGGCAAGCGTCCTGGAGCGCTTTGCTGGATAGCGGCGCGTCTCGCAACTGCATGAGCCAGTCCTTTATGCAAATGGCTGGCCTTGGCGCACAAGTTCGGAGGAAGGCAAACCCGACGGCGATCAAGTTGGCGGATGGAAAGACGCAACAACTCCTCGACCGTTACATCGAGGCCGTACCGGTCTACTTTGCACCTCATGCATGCGAACCGGTATCATTCGATATTCTCGATACGGACTTCGACATCATTCTGGGAATGCCTTGGCTTGCAAGTGCGGATCACTCAATCAACTTTCACCGGCGGACTCTTAGCGTTCGCGACGCCTTCGGCGCGGAAGTGGCGTGTACTATTCCTCTACCGCACCCTTCGATCCGGTGCCAAGTGGTGACGGCCAAATCATTCCGGGCGACTTGCGCTTACGAGCAGCCCGAGGAGATTGGCCTATGTTTTCTACGGACCGTCGCGGTAGCCGACTCTTCACCCACGGACTTGTCTTCGGACCCCCGTGTGGTACGGTTGCTGGACGAGTTCGCTGATATCTTTGAGTCACCTACCGGTGTGGTGCCTCACGAGATCATTCTTGAGACCGGTGTCGTGCCGCCGAGAGGTTGCATCTATCGGATGAGCAAGGAGGAACTTGAGGTCCTCCGCGCACAACTCGACGATTTGTTGGCCAAGGGTTGGATCCGCCCTAGCAGCTCCCCATATGGAGCACCAGTTCTCTTCGTCAGGAAGAAGAACAAGGATCTACGGCTGTGTATCGACTACCGCAAGCTCAACGCGCAAACCGTCAAGAGTGCGGGGCCTCTTCCTCGCATCGACGATCTTCTTGAGCGATTGGGCGGCGCAAAATTATTTTGCCAAGTTGGATTTGAAATCAAGATATCATCAAATCTCGATCCAGCCGAACGACCGCTACAAGACCTCGTTCAAGACGCGGTACGGGCATTTCGAGTGGGTGGTCATGCCTTTTGGCCTCACCAACGCCCCGACGACCTTTCAGGCGGCAATGACCAATGAATTTCGTGCAATGTTGGACCGGTTCGTGCTGGTCTACTTAGACAATATTCTCGTCTATAGCCGGTCATTGGAGGATCATCTTGGACATCTTCGACGAGTGCTGGAGACGCTCCGCCGTGCCAAGTACAGGGCCAACCGCGACAAGTGTGAATTTGTCCGGCAGGAGCTGGAATACTTGGGCCATTTCGTCACACCGGAGGGCATCAGTCCGCTATCGGACAAGATTCAGGCCGTCCAAGAGTGGCCGGAGCCTCGACACGTCATAGATGTCCGCTCGTTCCTCGATCTCGCCGGCTACTATCAGCGCTTCATCAAAGGCTACTCGAAAATCGCGGCCCACTTGAACAAGCTTCAATGCGAGGATCGGCCGTTTGACTTCGGAGAGGAGGCGCGGGGATCATTCTTCGCTCTCAAAGCCGCGCTATTGTCTGCGGAGGTCTTGCGGATATACGACCCGCTCTTGCCTACGCGTGTCACTACGGATGCGTCAGGCTATGGCATTAGTGCAGTCCTCGAGCAACATGACGGTGTGGACTGGCACCCGGTCGAATACTTCAGCAAGAAAGTGCCAATCGTGCATTCCATTGATGATGCACGCAAGGAGCTCCTCACCTTCATCCACGTGCTCAAGCGGTGGCGGCACTTCCTCCTTGGTCGAAGCCAATTTCGTTGGGTAACGGACAACAATCCGTTGGTCTTTTACAATACCCAAGACACCGTCAACAGCACCATCGCTCGATGGATGGCTTTCATCGATCAGTTCGACTTCTTTCCCGATCACATTCCCGGGAAGTCGAACCGTTTTGTGGATGCTCTTTCACGCCGTCTGGATCATTGTACCGCGGTCTACTCAACCTTCGAGATCGACGACGACCTGCGGAACAGTTTCATCCGCAGCTACCAAGCCGACCCCGAGTTTCGCGACAAGTACGCGAATTGCTCCTCTCCTAATCCGGCTCCTTCTCACTACCGGATCCAAGGGGGTACTTGCTTGTCCACACGCGGGGGAAGGACCTTCTTTGCATACCAAGTGATCCTCACTTGCGTACACGGCTTCTTGGCGAGTTCCACGACGCTCCCGCCACTGGACATTTTGGAGTCAATCGCACGATTGGCCGACTTCGCCAGCGATTTTGGTGGCCCGGCCTTCTCGGCGACGTTGTCAGGCGGCCACAAGTAGTGCGCCGCCTGAAAACGGCAGTTTAGGGGTTTAGGCTCAGGGTTAAGTCCGCGTTTTGACAAGTGCTTTGGGATGACCGGGCTGCAGGAATTATGAGAACTCAGGGTACCCATGATTCTGGACGCACTAGATTTTAAGAGTAACCCCCAAAGACAGCAAGATGGATGGGTGCACTGAGCACAACTAGAGACCGTCATTTCCGGTCGC